GTTTTTTTGCCAATTTGTTATTACAACTTACTGAAAAACATTCTTCTAATTTATTTTCAAGTTTACTTTCAATTTTATTTACAAATACAGTAAAACTTCGATATAATGACCTACTCAGAACTCATCAGTGCTAGATTCTTGTATATTTTTATTCAATTAAAAGTAGAACTAACACTAGATCCAGAACTAGAAACATTCGGATTTAGCCATCTTAAGAGATGTGCGGCTAAATCCGAATGTTTCTAGTTCTGGGTCTAGTGATAGTTCTAATGCTGGTATTAGTTCTAGTTTTAGTTGTTATTCAGCGCTACATACTTGTTTATTTTTATTGAACTAAAACTAGAACTAACACTAGACCTAGAACTAGAAAAATTTGGGTTTAGCCGCACGTCTCTTAAGACGGCTAAACCCGAATGTTTTTAGTTCTAGATCTAGTGTTAGTTGTAGTGCTAGTCTTAGCTCTAATTTAAGTTGATATTCATTTAACAAACTTTTTGGCTATAACAAACACTTCCTTCACCATATTAATCCGTTATATTGATGTTTTACCATATTTAAAAACAAATGTCATATTAAAACATCCTGTATGAACTGTTTCTTTGGCGTTCGCGTATGACAAACGCGCACGAATATGGAAATAGAAACTGCTCGACACGGCATTCCGGTGAACTTCAGGTAGGTCCACCTCTTTATGTTAGCAGCCCACACGCGAGAAATGCATCGCCGCGACGCCTTAACTTAATATATTATTGCGGGTGTTCACCAAAAAAAGAATACAAACTTAATACACAATAACCACTACAACAAAAGTGAAACCAACCAATCAGGTACTATAACTAAACGTTGACAACCAAATTTGGCTTTAATATACCTTTCATACTAATGAGATAAAAGTAGAATTCAACGTGACGTTTTGTACAGTACCGTTTAGGTATTTTTTATGTAATAAGTGGCCGGAATGTCCGTACGTGCTTCCGGCGTGGTTTTTTGTACTTTTTTTAACGTGGTGCGTTATGATTGAGTACGAAGCCGCAACTGACGCGACGAGCCGCGGATTCCTCGGCTAGTGACAAAGCATGAAACATTACTAGTCACGATTTTCAAATAGCGGCGTGAGAACTGTAACTTTGTAGTCGTTTTTAAAGCGATTATGTAAATTAGATATAAAACTACTTTACAAATTTGTATTTACAGAAGATTTTGTTACGTTTTTTTAGCAGCTAGAGATAAGTTATGAATCAGCCATTAGTTTTGCTATAAAATTAATAGTTGCAATCAAATACCTTTCAAATCGGTTTACAGTAAACAGCTTTATCGTGGATATTCGCAAAAACTAGACTGCCGCCTCTTTTTTAACTTTGACGTTACATGTCAATTTATAGCAAAATCCGGCCAAGCTGGATATTTTTTACCACTTCTAGAGAAATAGTAAGAGATGTCCTTCAGATTATATACAATATCTTTTATATTATTTTTGTAGCCTTCCACGTCTATGCATCATTTTTGTAGGTTGATTTTGTTCTTTTTTACTTCTACGTCCGTAAATTCAATTACTTTATTTTTATTCACATTTTGTCTTTAGACCAAGAATAGTCTGTCCTTGAATTCATAACAAGATAGCGCACAATTTTAACACAAAAACTCTCTCTTTATTGAAAAGAAATTGAATATGCCATAACAAAACGGATTTTCATTTTATTTTATCAATCGAAATGTTCTTGTGCAAAATAATTTTAGAGGATATTGCAGGGATTGTAATATCTGCTTGATTTTTGTGATTGCCGTTCTAAATCTTATACCTTGAGAATGTGTAGATAGCAGTGCTGATCCGCATAAGAATAGTAAATGTCAAGGTTATAGATGAAAACCACCTGTCCGGCTTTAGGAAGTGATTTGCAGCCTACCTCACCTACAAAGTGGAATAGATACGATTGATTCGATTTGCAAAAATTATTTTTAATGTCTTGCAAGTACATTTTTCTTTTACTTGTAAATTATCGGATTCTATAATCATTGATAGAGCTGGATTTGATAAATCAACACGAAGTCGTCAACTTTATAAGATTTTAGCGACCCGCTCGCAAGCCATCTCGACGGTTTGAGGTTAAATTTCTTGTAACAGACTTTGTATCTTTACATCAACGCTGATTTGAGAGAAAATTGTTCCAAGCCTAAGATACCTGAGCTGGAGGAGCACATTTACTCAAAAAACTGAGATTTGCCTGACCTGAGCAGTGTCACTCTATAAAGGGCTTAAAAATCTGAGCTTAATAGTACGTTTTCTGACTTTACATCGGCACGTTTATTTCCTATAGGTATAGGTAACAATGACATCTGCAGAAGCTGTAGTGAGCAGGATAACATATCTTTTTGAGTATACTTGGTAATTGGTATCCGGTATCTGTTACAACCCAAGAATATTTATTTATTTCATTTTGATTCCAGTTCTATAGTTTTCCTAAACTCCTAGTTTTTGATCTGATTATAATTCGAACTACTTAAAAATGAACTACTTAAAATGAAATTGAATCAGTATTTTAGTGCTCGTTCAGATGGCATTTTTTTACTTCGTTTTGAAGAAAATTTGTGCCAGAATACTTTAGGCAATCTATTACACATAATGTTTGTGTGGGTAGAGTTTAACTTAAGTATCTCATCAAAGTTGTCTCCTTCTATTTTTCCTGTTCTCCACTGCATTGGGGGGAGGTTGTCATCTTTGAGCAGAACCATACTTCCAACCTTGACAAGATCTTCTCGGTCGAATCTCCACTTCGTCCTTTGTTGCAGAGTATGCAAATACTCCACCTTTTCCAAAATGATTGGTGTAATTTTTGGAGTTGTTTGTAATTTGTTAATACGTTAGCAGGAATTTCTGAAACATCTACTTCAGGAATTGCCAATAAAGCCGTGTCAATCAAAAAATGTCCCGGAGTCAATAATTCCAAATCTTGAGAGTCAGAGGATAAAGAAAGTAAAGGTCTTGAGTTTACGATTGATCTCATCACCAATTTAACGGCAGCTTCCCAAATCTCACCAAAGTGAGAACTTCTTGCGGGAATGAAGTTCTTGCCAAATGATCCCTATGTCACGAAAATAATTTGAAATATCAGGATCCTTAGCTAAATCTACTAAATTAGCATACATTAAATTCTTAGCTCCTTTAAAATTAGTAGCATTATCGGAATATAAGCATCGACACAAACCTCGTCTACCCACAAATCTTTTAAATGCATTTAGAAATGTGTAAGATGTCAAATCAGTCCCCAACTCTACATGTAATGCCTTCGTAGCACGACCTTGGCTGGATGTCGATTGATGGTCCTGTTCATCCGTTCTACCATTCCGTCAGACTTCACAAGTTTTTCAAGGTGTTATTAAAATGTATTAATTAAAGCAAGGCATGTCGCGTTCAACAAATTAATACTTGGTCTATGTTTTGTAACTCTTGTCTTCTTCTTTACATTGAGTTTATGGTTGTATTGTGACAATGCCTTGTAGCAACTTCTTGGATCGTTCAGACTTCTCCAGTATACCATTCACCATCTGGTAGGATTTATTCTTTATTTCAGTCAAAAATTTACATCTTTCATTAAATCAATCACTTCTTTCTTCATTTCTTATCTATACTTTTTTCGTAATTGGTGTTCATTTTAGTGTTGTATTTTTGTGGGTTGTTGAATGTATTGCTCAGCTACTTCAGAGTTAGATATATTATGTTTTCGTGATCTTCTGATCGCATTGTAGGGACCACCATGGTAGGGATGGTTGTTTCATCTTTGTACTTACCTAACTGTTATGGTATAACGTAGGTATATGTTCCTTGTTTATATATTGGGAGTACTCAGGTCGTCTTTCAATGGATGTGTCATATCATTGCCTTACAATCCACCCAGCTTTTTCAGGTACCCTAACAACTGCTTTTTATAGTAACAAGTCAATTAAAAGATAGGTAATGAAGAACCACGGATTCTTCAAAGGGAGAAGCACCGGAAATTCTCCTTTCGCCTGGCTCATTCTGAGTCGATCTTTCCGGTCAGTAGCCATGTTCGCTCGGACATGTAAATATTTAGTACAAGCACCTCATCTTAGCCTTGCCTCACCTTTCGGGTTCTCAAACTATTCATACACTTTACCTCTTCTCAACTCTTACTTGGCATATAAAAGTAAGTATTCATGTTCCGGTAGATGTGTTTTCAATAAAGTGATACTAACAGTGATTTATATTTGTTGTATATTACTGTGGTAATGTTTTCAAAATTGTTTATGTAACAGTAGATAAATATTGTGTAAGCACTTCTTTTCTTATCGAAGCTACAAAACACTTTGATAGTACCCATCATACATAGAACTACAACCGTACAAATTCCTTCTCAGGAATCCTACGATATATTAAATTGTTCTCTCCAAACCAAGCGTTTAATGTTATGCAGCATAAAGAGATTTAATATTTTGAAACAAACAGATCCCAATAATAGAGGTACAATCCAAACGTTTTTTGCATATTAGTATAGTAATTCTAAACTTAGAACGGAGAATGTATTATTTCTGGTTAATCTGGTCAACACATTGTAACGAGGCGCTACAATTAAGGCATATTAATTGCGTTTAATTAAGCTATCTCATTTATTTTCCGTTCTAAGTTTAGTCGAGGTCAATTGTGGCCGAATCGCTACAACAGGTGTTAACCAATTTTAACTGGATAAGTTATTAATTGCAATAATGCATCATCCGCAAATGATCTTGGCTTAATCAGGCGATATTACACATTCCTCAATCCTAAATTTAGCTAAGGTCATTTACACTCGAAGACATCTTTGCTTAATCAGACAAGATCATACATTCACCGTTCTAAGTATAGCTGAGGAGCTATAATGTGTTGATCAGTTTTAGACTCATATGGTATTAATGCTAGCGCCTCATTCAGATGAAATTATACGGAATTTTCATAATTAATGATAGTAAAATAACAGTTTTCACAACTATTTTTTGCATAAACTTACCTGTCCATTTTTATCCATTTCATTATTAGTCAATTTAACTTTTTCAAATGAAACTATTTGTTTCCGGAAATGTTCACCGGAAAAAGGTGAATCGGGGTGGGCATACATCCTGGAAGGGGCGGGTGGATCAGCTTTCCCTGCGACCAACCAGGAAGACCGATGATAGGCGTATCTATACCTCTTGTTATCGACTGGGACGATGTCCATAAGAACGGCATACCTCTGTTCCGGTCGGATTCCAGTAAACGACACTCGTAGAGTCGGGAACATCCTTCTGCAAAAAAAGAAGCAACCAATCGGGTTAAATGTCTTAATGCGTGTTTCTTGTAAAATGTGAGCTTTAGCTAATGAAAAAAAACTATAAATTTCTCGGGTGAGCAAGCACTTTTTTTAATGGACTCGAGACGTTCCCCGGAGAAACGGTTCACTTCCGCCTACCGCTAATTATAAATAAGCCGCGTCGCTGTGTACACGTTTTGATTGACTTAACACTCTTGCTTAATTAACGAGATGAGTTGTTAACTTTCCTTCATCTGATAAGAATCGCCGAGCAACGTGAAGTGAATGAATAAAAAAAAGTTAAAAGAACCTAGATTAAACGATTAAAATCTATTTTATTTAAATAGTTCTTTGTTTATAAATAATCCAAATGGGGTTTTATAGCGAATAAAAAAAGGTTGATTTTAATCGATAGGTAAACACCGGGTGACATAAATAATATACAGGTGCCCAAGATGATGTTAATTGCCTACCGTTCGGAAGACGACAGAGTTACGATCAATAAAATAAATTGAAAAATAAATTAAAATAAAACTAAATTAAAATAAAAATAAATTAAGTTTAAAATAAAATACAAAAAAAGAGGATCCCTTGGAAAAAGCGCCCGATAGTCTGCCTCGGCTGTTGTGGGGGATAATTGTATTTTCGTCTGTCGATGAAAAGAGGCGAACAAGAGCGGAACCGGCGCGTTAAAACGTCCAAATTACCCGACTCGCCGGCCGACAGCCTGTAATTACGGTTTCCCGAGGGAATACGAGTCGCTCGCGTGATGGAAGGTGTAAAAATTACGGTCCTCGGTGGTTTCGCGACCCGACGAACGGAGGAAACGCTAATCTTCGGACGTGTTAATACCGTTTCCACGTTTGGCGGTGTGGAAAATACGTGTTGACAAGCCGTTTTCTATACAATATAGAAAAATACATTCAAAATCTCAAATCATTTCATCACAGAGATAACAAAAATTTTTAGGTCAATAGAAATATACGACAATCTAGCGCTAAATAACAATTAAAACTAGAACTACACGGAGAGAAATGGATTGTACTATGCACTAAAAATATACTATAAGGTAATATAATATTGAGATTGTACTGAAGCATATAAATATAATGAATATAATACAATTGATTGCTGCATGATAGTTAGCACAAGATAATGCTATGTATTAGTTTAATTCAGCACCAGATTGTTGTATATTTCTATTTAACTAACAATAGACCCGAATGTTTCTAGTTGTAGGTCTAGTGTTAGTTCTAGTTTTAGTTCATTAAAAATATACAACATAGCGATATTTTGTGCTAAGTAGCGCTACCTAGCACTGTCACTAGAACTAACATTAGACCTAGAAACATTCGGCTTTAGCCGTTAGTCTCTTAAAACAGCTAAACCCGAATGTTTCTAGTTCTAGGTCTAGTGTTAGTTTGAAATATACAACAATCTAGCGCTGAATTAAACTATTACATAGCATTATCTTGTGCCAACTAGCGCTACCTAGCACTGTTACTAGAACTATCATTAGGCCTAGAACTAGAAACATTCGAGTTTAGCCGTCTTAAGAGACGAACGGCTAAAGCCGAATGTTTCTAGTTCTAGGTCTAGTGTTAGTTCTAGCTAGTGGTGGAACGAATATCCGGCAACTAACCGGCCTATCCGGCAATTTTTTTAAATCCAACCGGATACCGGATAGTTACCAAATTGGCTTTGGCCGGATATTAAAAACCTATCACTTAGTACTTCACCATTCACAGGAATTAGCATCTCTTTAGGTGTTGGACGCTGCAGATAATAATCAAGTTCAACCCCTATAGGACATTTTTCATTGAATACAACTTTATTTATATCAGGTTTGTCATTAGCAACCTCATTGTAACAATCCCAATAACAATGATACATAAAATCTCTTGTTGCAGTTTCGTCTGGTTTTCTTCTCTTCGCTTGTAATTTATTATCATATTCATTACTAACACAACTGTCGCTGTTATCACTTTCGATTATTAATTAAAGTATCCTTTTTTTAATGCAACAAGCCGTTTTGAAAAATCACTTTCACTTCTTGAGAAATAAATTTTTGAAATGATCGACTATTTTTTAGAATTTTGCAATTTTTGCCGATTAAGTTTTAAAATTCGTATAAAATCTAGTTCTTGGAATATGAGTATGAAAATTTCCCGAAGTGTTAATAAAAGTGTCCTCTTTCCAATGAACCAACACATTTTGAAAAATAACTTTTAGTTTTTGAGAAAACAATATTTGAAGTTTTCTTAAAATTTTCGATGTTGCAATTTTCATCGATAATTTTCAAAATTCGCTATAAAATTCATTTCTTGAAGGATCCTTGTGGAAATATCACCAATTATTAATTAAAGTATCCCCTTTTTAATGCAAAAAGCCATTTTGAAAAATCACTTTCAGTTCTTGAGAAATAAATTTTTGAAATGATCGACAATTTTTTAGTATTTTGCAATTTTCGCCGATTAAGTTTTAAAAATTCGTATAAAATCCATTTCTTGGAATATGAGTATGAAAATTTCCCAAAGTGTTAATAAAAGTGTCCTCTTTCCAATGAACCAACCCGTTTTGAAAAATAACTTTTAGTTTTTGAGAAAACAATATTTGAAGTTTTGATAAAATTTTCGATGTTGCAATTTTCATCGATAATTTTCAAAATTCGCTATAAAATTAATTTCTTGAAGGATCCTTGTGGAAATATCACCAATTATTAATTAAAGTATCCTCTTTTTAATGCAACAAGCCGTTTTGAAAAATCGCTTTTAGTTTTTGAGAAATAAATTTTTGAACTGATCGACACAAGTAATAACAATAATGAAATTTATTTAGGACTCATAGATAAAACAATATAATAAAATATAATACATCTATACCAATGTGAAAGAATATAAACTAAATTTAAACTTGGTTCTAAACAGGCTATCGACCGAGGTCTTTCAGCCTGAGATAAATAATGTACAATTTAACAACTTTCTTATTCAGTATTTTTCATTCTTGAAATATTGTGAAAAAGTGTGGGAAATATTGGAACTTTGATTGTACTCGTCCTCATCAATCTTTCAAGCACCGACTCTGAAAATTTCTTGCTAATCCTCTCTGCTAGTCGCCATCCTCGTCCCTAAATTAGTGTGATTCTAGTAGTTTCATACAAAACTTGGAAAGGTTATGCAAGGGGCTGTTTAGATGTCTAATTCTTGTAATCTTTCTTAGCGCAGTACGTTCAGCTACTTCTAGATGTTGTATTGTCCGTATTCGATCAAGGGTCTGCAGATGGATTTGTAAATTTGGGTTGCTACTTTGAGCCAACAGCATACCCAGATATTTGGCAGTAGGTGATGGAGAAACGTTGATGCCCAAAACATTTATTGTTGGAGATTTTTCGTTGATTTGGTGAAACGGAACAAGTAACTGAGTTTTGCTTGAATTTAACTATATTCTCCATGTTTTGCGTCTTGTTAATCGTATCTGGCAAGTGTTTGGCATGTGCTATTATGGCAGTGTCATCGGCATATTGGAGGATGTAAGTTTCGTTGTTAAAATACATAGGATCAATGTTATATATTGAGGAAGACCTTGTTGCATGAAAAAGAGTCTTGATAAGAAATTCTGGACTTTAACCTGTGAAGTTCGGTTTGATAAAAACTGGATGATTATGTTAAGGAGGCAGAATGGAACGTTGCCATTTGCTAACTTGTAGATCAGCAATTTTCGCCGATTAAGTTTTAAAAATTCGTATTAAATCCAGTTCTTGGAATATGAGTATGAAAATTTACCAAAGTGTTAATAAGAGTGTCCTCTTTCCAATGAACCGACATGTTTTGAAAAGTAACTTTCAGTTTTTGAGAAAACAATATTTGAAGTTTTGATAAAATTTTCGATGTTGCAATTTTCATCGATCACTTTCAAAATTTGCTATAAAATACATTTCTTGAAGGATCCTTGTGGATCCTTGTGGTATCCTTTTCTTAGAGTTAAAAGAAAATTCAACGAAACGATGGATGAGAATGGTTGTGGGGGTGAGGAGACAAAGGGATGGATGACGGAATGATTGGGCCGAGGAGCTGAGGGTGTGGAAATGGAGGAAGATGGTAGAGGGTGAAAATATTTTAATAATGTAAAGAATTGTAGACAGATTGTTGTATACATATAAACTCTTAATCAATTAAGAAAATTCAGAAATGCACCTGAAATTGTAACTATAATCGCCGGATAGATATGCCGGATAACCGGATATCCGGCCGAAGGGGATGCTGAATATCCGTTATCGGCCTTTTCGCAAAATCATTATCCGTTTCATCACTAGTTCTAGGTTTCGTTAACTGAAAAATATACCACAATGCTGAATAACAACAAAAATTAGATCTAACATTAGCATTAGAACTAACACTACACCTAGAACTAGAAGCATTCGGGTTAAGTTGCACGACTCTTAAGACGGCTAAACCCGAATGCTTCTAGTTCTAGATCTAGTGTTAGTTCAAATTTTTCATTCAATAAAAATATACAACAATCTAGCGTGGAATTCTAACGAGATCGATGTTTTACTGTATTATTAAACCAGTACATTAATTAATAAAATCTAAATTAGTTTATTACATTATGGATATATTAATCTTATGGTTTACAAGACAACTTCTTTAATGTTTCTTCTTGTTGTTATAATTTCTTGATCATCGATTATTCTTTAATTAGATTAATATGAACCCTATCAACAAATCATCTTAATTTCCTTCCATATATAATTACGGTCTTTAAGAGACCTTTAATAATCTATGCACGTGAGCGGTGCGTGCATTATGAATTGGATTTTAAAAGAGACCGCTTCGATCGCCCCGGGGGCAACTTGGCGGGGTCTGATTAATGATGTCTCAGCGATCCCGCAGCGGGACGGGAGCAACTATTAATTAGCGCGCGCGATTACACGTATAAAAGAATAATTAAACGGCTGTTTATCGTCCCCGAAGCCGTGGCTGTTCCAAATTACGT